TTCTAACGAAAAGAAGCAACAACTTTGTTATTTCAAATGGAACACCCTGTATTTTATTGCATTTTTAGATTCTCACTGAAAAGCTGATTTCATCAATGTATCACACTTGGGGTCTAGCAGGAATGATTACAGAGATATAGGGTGTTCAAAATCGAGATTTTTCAATTTCAGGATTTTTTTGAGTCGAAACTATTCATTATTGGTCAAAACGGCTTTTATGTCCCTATCTCAACTTTTGATTTACTATCTACTGACATTTATTTGAAACAAATACAGGGTGATCAAAAGTCTGAATCTTGAACCACCCTGTATTTGTTTCAAATAAATGTCAGTAGATAGTAAATCAAAAGTTGAGATAGGGACATAAAAGCCGTTTTGACCAATAATGAATAGTTTCGACTCAAAAAAATCCTAAAGTTGTAAAATCTCGATTTTGAACACCCCTATATCTCTGTAATCATTCCTGCTAGACCCCAAGTGAGATACATTGATGAAATCAGCTTTTCAGGGAGAATCTAAAAATGCAATAAAATACAGGGTGTTCCATTTGAAATAACAAAGTTGTTGCTTCTTTTCGTTAGAAGCGGCAACGCCGCGGGGCTGAAAATATTTTAGAACCATGTCCCCCTCGAAAATAAAATCGACCTGTCTTTTCGTTTTTCCATATTATCGACTTGGAGGGAGATATTGAGGGTGGGAAGTTTTCAAATTGACACCCTGTATATTATATCCTCCAGATATCAAAGTTAAAACTTAAAAGACTCTGTAAGTCAATCTGACATTCGCGAAAGTCAAGCCGTGACGTGACCCGTAAAATGAAGCAGAGCCTTCTTGAGAAATTTGTTTGGTAGATTTGCTGGTTTTTCATTAGTCTAACCTTTTCAGTTGCTGTGGATCCTGAAAATTTTGAATCTGTGATTGGTCGAGTGCCGTTGAATAATGAGTTGGGATCTACGGTGTCCTGGAATCATCTTCATTCATCAATTACTAACCTATATGATTGTAATCAATGTAGAATACGATAGTCGTAGAGAAAAATGTTTTTTGAAATATCCCATCATAGGATTACACACTGTAGAATTACTATTATTGGCATTATTGGCAAATAGATTTTTGAACTCGATGTTGTGTTCTAGAAATTCACATTCAAATTAAATTTCGAAACTTGGAAAAAGTAGGAATTTTGGTAGTAAAAGTCGAAACATTCGAGGTAAAAGTCGAGGTAAAAGTTGAGATATCGATATAAACGGCGAGTTTTTCACTCAGAAGTCGAAATTTTGGAAAGAAAATTGGAATTTCCTGCTGAAAATCAGAATCTTTATGAGATCCGGAACTCTTTGTAGATCGGCAAGCAAAAAAAAAGAAAACCGAGATGAAAACCATAAGAATTGGTGTCGAATTTGATCTAAAAGCATTGATATCGACTCACCGGCATCCATCCCTCACTTTGGTACACTTTTCAATGTTCAAACCACTCAAACATTCAAATTCAAATAATCTAACAGTCAGTTTTCACTACTCACACACACACACACTTGCGTAGTAAATGATATACTGTTAATAGATTTGACTGTTCTCAGAACAGTGTTCTGTAATCGAATGATTCACATTTTTTTCTCGATTTCGATACGATAAACAGTCCCCACTTTTTTCATGGAACATTCCATTAGTCGGACGTAAATAACAGAGCATCAAAAGTAAAGTTTGAAGATTTTCAGGGCGATACAAATAAACATGGTGATCAAGTACCAATATAAAATATTTCTAGAGTCAGTAAAACTTGAAAAAATGATAATGGTTCTTTCAATGAACATAAAATATGCCCTTCAGAAGGATATTGAGGATTTATTTTGTCAACTTGTTTCTTGGATATTGAAAACGTCATTTATATTTTTATACAACGTGATGTATGGTGTATGGGGAGTATTGTTTTTCAATTATTAAGTATTCAATCGAAAAGAAGAATGAACCTAATAATTTTCTTTCGACTATTGTTTCTACAATTACACTATAAAATTGGGGAGGGTCGAAATATAGGGTGTCCCAACTCTTCAACGAGGAACAAAGTTGTTTCGATCCAACGGAAGTCATCAAGTTACACTATTGTACATGCATATAAAATATCATACTCCAAGAGCCGGCTGCAGATTTCGACCGTCATCTGATAACGAAATGATATACAGTGTGTGTCCCAGCTAGAACTTGTCACCCCGATATGTAGTAAAAAAAATTGAAAATCGCTCGGACAGATCGACCTTGAAGCGTAACGGGCATCAACTTTCGATTTTCAAATGGAACACCTTGTATTGCATTGCATTCTTAGATTATCCCTGAAGAGCTGCTTTCATCAATATATCACACTTGGGTGTCTAGCGGGAATGATTACAGACAGAGATATAGGGTGTACGAAATCGAGATTTTTCAACTTTAGGATTTTATTGTGTCGAAACTATTCATTATCGGTCAAAACAGCTTCAATGTCCCTATCTCAACTTTTGATTTACTATCACCTGACATTTAATTGGTACAAATACAGGGTGGTTCAAGATTCAGAATTCTGATCACCCTGTATCAATTTATAAGGAGAAATCAAATTGACAGGTTCATATTTGTTCAAATAACACAGTCATGGTTTTGTATACAGTGCGTCGGTTAAATTGAGTGCTATCGTAAAATGGGGTTGCGCCTTTATAGAAATACCGAGAAGTACTTTCTCCTACACGAATTATTCTGTATGAATTATGATAAAAGTCGCAATGTATTGAGTACTTTACAAAAAGCACTATATAACGGGGGTATTTTCGATCGATTTCTAAAAAAATATTATTGGTGGGTAGGAAGTTATACTATACAGGGGGTTACTATGGTCGATGATGGTGGGTTAGACGTTTATGAAGAACGCAACAAACAGATTCAGGGTGATCAATTATTAATCTTGAACCACCCCGTATTAGTATAGAGATAGTAAATCGAATGTTAAGAGCCGTTTTGACCAAATGAATAGTTTCGACACAAAATATCTTAAAGTCGAAAAATCTCGATTTTGAACACCCTCTATATATCACTGTAATCATTCCCGCTATAGACTCCAAATGTGATGTATCAATAAAATTAGTTCTTCAGGAAGAATCTACAAGTCGATATTATACAGGGTGATCCATTAAGAAAAAAAGTTGTAGGTATACAAGTTTTCCAAGATTCCTTTAATTTTCTTCAGTTTTTCGTAACCCTTTTGAGCCCTTTCGGCCGCTGCGGATTGCATGCAATCAATTATTAGCGCTTCAGTTTGTTTGAACTTACAACGGCAAGCAGTATAATATCGCGGAAACAATAAAGGAAAATTTATCACAAAAAGAAAAGCGCGGCCAGGAACCCGTCTATTGTTCATATTTTGGGGTTAATTATAATAGTCCAAGAGCCGGCTTCTCATCTGGAAACTAAATGTCTCAAAATCATGTAAAAACATTGTATTTCGGACGGCACCTGTGCGATTCATTATCCTGAGCGAAGTAATTCATTGTACGATTGTACCATTGTTTCACCTGACCTGATGAAGCTATATCTCATCGTTTCTGAAGTTTTTACATTTACTATTTTCCATCAAGTAACGGCCAAGCAATTCAAAAAATAATTGAGAAATTCCGGACAAACTTCCGTCATGTGATAACGAGTTGAAACAAAAAGCAAATGAAGGGGGAAAATGTCCTCATTGCGAATATCCAAACGTGCCGCGACTTAAACTGCGATTTAAGTTAGTGGCAGAGCATCAATATTTACGGGAATATTTCGCTTCTCTCATAGATAATATCCGATGGACCAGTGTAAAACTTCATTAGAATACTTGTAATGCGAGCATCACATGAGATTTACACTGGTCCATCGGATATTACCTTCCGCCGGGGCATAATATTGTCGGACGCTCTGCCACTAACTTAGATCAATTTGAGTTTGGATATTCGCAAAGGGAATCTCCTGGCATTTGCTTTTTGTTTCAAAACTCGTTATCACATGACGGAAGTGTGGATACAATTGATACAAATTATATAGAAGACTTGAGTTGTAATTATATTGTAAAAATGTCACATCAATGTCAGACTATCAAATCATAATATACCAAAGTATACAGGGTATTGCGAAATTCGACCGACAACGCTTGACAGATGATAGCCCTCGTGATACAAATATTGATAAGTTCATTAATCAAATGTACCTTTGTTAATTATGCTGGTATTGGTCCCACGCATATCTGTTGAGTCGGTTGCAAAAAAACATTATAACGCCCGACGATCGTAGCACCAGACCTATCCATATTCGGGCGGTTGGTCATTTAGTCATTTCCTTTCAACTGGCAACACTGCCTGTGTTGACATATTGACGTCACTATCAACTTTGCTTGAAAGTACAAAAAAAAAATTCGAAAAAAAAACCCATCGCATGATAAATGCAGTTTTACCATTTCCTTTATTCTCGTTGTCCAAAGGGGAAGTAAGTTCTATAAATATCAACACAGATATTATTATCATTAGTTGATCGAAATTAATGCTCCTATCACTTGTGGTCCAGAGAACTCCGAGAGTAGGTTTCAACAGTTTTAACGACTCCAATGTGCAGAATAATTCAAAATTCAAACCATTTCAAACTGATGTTTATTCCGAATTAAAAAACTTAAGCCGAAACACTCACGCGTGAAACTCAACGTTGTGATTGGTCTACAAGCTTGCCTATGCCTGTTATCGGGGCGTTTTGAATACGTGCCATTTAATGACGCAGACCACAGCCGTCTAGTTGAAGACGGCTGTGCCCAGACTAGATTCATTTCTCATTAACTTTAACTTCAACTTCAACTTAACACTTAACCTATACTGCAACCACTTGACTTGACTTGTCGACTTTTGTTATCCCCAGTATTTTCATTGGTATATTTTCACTTTTCAGAGGTTTCTTGAATATCTATATCTTCTTTCAATTCTTTATTATGTGAATTGTGAAATGTTATAGCGATGTGCACCGATACCGAGGCGTATAGAGAGTGGATAGACATTTTCGACACTGATGTTTCTGTTATATGGAATACTGAAAGGAAAGAACTGCAAAGAGCTGCTATGCTGCTTGGAGCCCTGCAAAAGGAATTCAAACGTTAGTTTTCAACTCTACCTTCAATTTCAATAAGTTCATTGTCTGATTCTTTATAGGGGTTCATGAAAAAGTCGATTTGGAATATTCAACTTTGAGACAACAATTGAAAAATATTGATCAGTTAAAACAGAAAGCAAAGTAAGTATTCCAATTGATTTGCTGAAATTAACATTCATTAAAAACTAAAATTTGCTTAGGTCTCCCTGTCTGAAGAAATCACCAAACTCTGTAAACAAAGGTGAGATTTCCAAAAGCAAAATATTTTACTTATTGTATTTTTGAAATTTCCGAGTAAATTTCTCTTTCAGAGAATGAAGCTGTACTGGATACAAGAAGTTCATCAAGTTTGAAAAATAGTTTTCACATTGAAAGCCCAGATCTGTTTAGAAACATTGACATAAACAAAGATTTAGAATCAGAAACAACTACCAACTCATCCATAATTGATCTCTCTTTATCTGATGATGACAAAACAAATATAGAAAAAAGTCCTACTTTAATTTCCAAGTGCAGAAAGCAGAAATCAAAATTTCCAAGAATGCCCAAAGCAAAACACCAATTGATTCAATTCAACACTCCTGAGTGTGTACCTAAAAATATTTTTAAAACTAGAAAATCAGATTTAGAGACTTCAATTATTGACTGTACTCCTGACTTAAAGATCAAGAAGTCAGATAGTAGGGTTGGTGATTTTTTGAGTAAGAAAAAATGCCAGAGAACTAAGAACATATCCACCCTCACACAAATGTTTGCCAACACTCCAAAACCTAAATCAATCAAGTTAGTATTTGTCTTGGAAAAACCTGACTAACACAAATGTATCTAGTTCCTTCCTATGTAAATGTATATTGATTTCAGGAATCAAAAGACTGATGATGCCATTGATTCAGATGAAACTTGTATTGATGGTAACAAAAGTAAATCAAAAATGAGCATCACAGATCTCCTGAAATTCGTTAATGAAGATGAGAATGAGACTGAAGAGAATGTACCTGATGATCTTGATGAATCTGGATTAGAAGAGATGGACTCTATGCAGGAATCAGACCAATTCTCTAATGGTGCTTTTTTAGATGAAGATATATGTCTTGAAGCATCATCACCAAAGTAAGCACATTGTGTTTTCACCATTTTTGATTATATTATAGAGCAATTCAGAAATTGATGAAAGATATTGTGTGATCATGGTCATTGCCATCAGTATACTCAACAGAAATTTGTATAATTTCAGGAAACCAAAATTGGTTGAACCTGAGCCTATAGTGAGAGGTCATGCTCGAAAATTATTGAATGGATTTGCTTGCAAAGAATGTCATGATGTGAGTAGACATTTCTTTTTACTAGTTGGTTGATGCAGTAGCTTTTTTTTCAGTTTTATGCTCATATGAAATTGCCTCCAGAGGAGTTACAGAAAAAAATGGATGAGTGTTCAAAACACAGATATACCTATAGACCTCCTGATGAAACAATACCAGGTATGATTTTTATATACCTAATATATTATTTATGGAAAATGGGTAAATAGGAATAATGATAATAATAATAAATGCTTTTATTGTCTCAATGAAACAAAAGTCAGAGTTCAACTCCTGGATAAATAATTTATTTGGGGGTATGAACTGATTTTCATGAGTCATCAATAATTATCATAGGCCCTTGCTGATAAAAAAAATTGGACAGAAAATATGATCAGATATGAGCCTAAAAACATTTTGTTTCATGAAATATTCTATTATGTGCATAGATTAAGAGGAAGTCGTTGATCTATGTTATGTGTATTAATCCAGTAACTTAGTTGCCTGGATGTATTGGGTAGTATGCTTCAAATCCATAGTTCAGATTTTTTGCAGACTTGTTTATGATGTTGGCCTAATGAATAATTTAAGTTTGTGACCTCAAGCGCGGAAGGTAACTGTCAAAAATTGAAAAAAAAAACGGGAAAAATCAATATTTTTTCAAATTCTGGCGATTATAACCTTGAAGGACTAGTTTTCGAAAAAACTTTCTCAGGACGTTTTCAAAGTACACTAAATTAGCTCTGTCTCTGTAGACCCGAGTTTCCGAGATCAAGCCTTTCAATCATTATCATACGAGAGGATATACGGTCGCAAGTGTATGATACAACACAATTCACACCAGCCGACGACTTCTTCCAGAATGTAAATTCAATTATCCCTGATTCTTTGAAACTGTTGCTTGAACTGGTAATTTTAAGAGACTAATGCAGCTGCTTGGTTTCCTATTGAAAGAAGTGGGATGCTCTTGCACATTCAATAATATCTGCAATCTGGCCTCACTCATTCATCTCTTGTTCACTGCATGGTATTTGTGTATTCTTCTCTTGTATCACAAGTTCGAATCAAAACATCTGGTTGAGTAATTGCCAACGCTTGGATTCTCAGCTGGTTACAAGGATACTATGCTTTTGGGAACCTCGGCCATAATGCAACCATGTTGAAGGACCCTTCAATGTCGTTTGAGCAATTTTCTTTTGATAACACCGACTTGAATGTCAATACTTTAGATGAGACATGTACTTTTCACGCGATGGGAGGTATAATGATTGTGACTCCCCATAATTCCCCATGTCCCAGAATAAAATAGACTGTTTGACGAATTGCAGTCTGCTTTGGAACTTGTACAGAGAAATCCTCCTATTCAGCTAGAAACCTTCCAAAAAGTGTCATCCAATCAGGATTTGTCGGCAATTAATCTTGTTAACTCAGACAACATTAATTTGCTTCCTGAATAAATTGTACACTTCAGATATCTTATGGTTATATGGTAAAGTTCAAAAAGGTTGAACATCCTGGGATGGAAGCGGTTCATGGAGGAAGCAACAGCAGTGAAACACCTTACCATTCATTACCCTTTTTGAACTTTACCATATAACCATAAGATATCTGAAGGGAGTGGTATAATTTCTTCAGGAAGCCAATGAATGTGTCTAAGTTAACAATAACAATTCCCGACAAACCCTGATTGGATGACACTTTCAAGGGAAGGTTTCATGCTGAATAGGAGGATTCCTCTGTACAAGTTCCCAGGCAGTGCACTTCGTCCAACGGTCTATTTCATTCTGGGGCATGGGGGAATTATGAGGAGTCACAATCATCTAAACTGTTGACATTAAAGTCGGCGTTATCGAAAGAAAATTGCACAAACAACATTGAGGGTCCTTCAACATGAATTGGTCTGGTCGCATTATGGCCGACGTTTCCAAAAGCATGGTATCCTTGTAACCAGCTGAGAATCCAAGCGTTGACAATTAATTACTCAACCAGATGTTTTGATTGGAACTTGTGATACAAGAAAAGAATACACCAATCTCATGCAGTAAACAAGAAATGAATGAGCGAGGCCAAACTGCCGATATTATTGAATGTGCAAGAGCATCGCACTTCTTAGCTGCGTTAATCTTTTAAAATTACCGTTCCGAACAACAGTTTCAAAGAATCAGGGATAACTGAATTTATATTCTGGGAGAAATCGACGGATGATGTGGATTGTGTTGTGTCGTACACTTGCCGTACCGTATATCCTCTCGTATGATCAAGATTGAAAGGCTCAGTCTCGGAAACTATCTGGTCTACAGAGACAACTCTAGTATTATATTGTAGCTAATTTAGTCTACTTTGGAAACGTTCTGAGAATTTTTTTTGTCAAAAACTAGTCCTTTAAGGTTATAATCGGCAAAAATTGAAAAAAAAAACGATTTTTTCGCGGATTTTTCGAATTTTTACAAAGTTCCGTTCGGCGCCTGAGGTCACAAACTTGGATTATTCATTAGGTCAACATCACGATGTGTAAACGACATGAACGAGTCTGCAAAAAATTCAGAACTACCGGATTTGACGCATGCTGTGATGTATAGTAGGGTCCCTTGATGCAAACTGACGTATTTGTCATCTAACAGGGTACGGACAGATCATAGCTCCTTTCTCTCTTAATAATCTAGTGACTTTGGTTTCGTGTATTGGCGTCCCTGACATGATATTGCTGTCATGTCACATTCATAGGCGTTAAAAGAGATCTTAAAAAATTTTAATTTCATACTTCATCTCAATACGACATTATTCAATATTCAATTCTGTTTTGGAAGGATGGTAAAATGTGCTGTGCTAGACTGTATCAATCAGTTGGATGGCAAATTTGAATTTATCAGCTTTCCATCAAATGTAAATGAACTTAGAATATGGAAAGTAAAGTGACCGAATGGAGAAAATTGGTAAATACATCAGCATCAGCAGCAAATATTCGAGGTGAAACTAATACGAAATCACATATTATACTTTCTCATTGTGCCTATAATAATTATTCACTCCACAAGTTTTTGGATGCATTTTAGTAGGAACAGTTTTGATTAAAACGGAGGATTAAAAAAAGAGGCATATGCCCTACCATTTGAAAAATTATACCTACATTCAGGAAATATTAAGTGTTCGTGAAAAACTGCAAAAATGATTCCCAACATGAAAAATCAAAGACTCGAAAATTATCATCATTATTTGGATATAATATAAAGTAGAGTTGAATGAGAAGTTACATGTGGAAATTACGTATGATACGCCAATGTCCTCAATATAACCTAAAAAACAACAAATGTCAGAATTCTAGTGTTTATCCCCAGAAATGAGTAAAGATGGAACTAAATACCTGTTTCACAAACACTTATTTAGAGTGAGAGGAGACGAGGATCTGTCGGTACCCTTACATCCAGTAACTCTAGTATAAAGTTACTGGACTATACCTATAGGGTTCCAGATAGGGTTGTAATAGATTAGTTATTTCAGGATTTTGGGACATGACAATTCCATCGCAAAAATGAGACTAAAAAAACAGTTGACCTACACCATTGTGATATTTTATTTATCAAATCTAGATGTGTACAAATAACTATCATTTATCAATAACTACGTTTACATAGAAAAATAAACTCTTAGCCTAACTCAGCGATTGTTCTATAAATACCTTATTACTACTATAATATTTTAATATATATCATTCATCATCATGAAAGTGTTTTCATACCAAAGATCAGAGATCAGAGGTTCCCCCTTTTGCCTTGCTCTAACTCAATGGATTCGAATAAGGCTTTGAAATTTCCTGCACCAAAACCCTGCAATTGTAAGAAACAATAAAATGAGATATTCTTCCAACAAATTAAAAAATGTTTCTTCCTTAGAAATCAAGATAAAAAAATGTAACTAAACACTATTGAAAACTGAATAAGTTGAAGGAAGTACATATTGATAATGTCTCTTACATTGTGATTTCTTCTCTGAATCACTTCGAGAAACAACGTGGGCCTATCTTGCATATTCTTGGTGAAAATTTGCAGGAGATATCCATCATCGTCATAGTCGATCAGGATATTCAGTTCTTGCAGAATGTCCAATTCCTCAGCGATTTGAACTTTGGAGTGCTTCAGTCTTTCCTTCAGCATCTCATAGTAGGAGTCGGGTATCTTGAGAAATTGCATGCCACGGGATTTCAAGTTTCTTATCTGAAAAAATAATATGTGAAAGGTCTGGATACTTGGGTTGGACAATGAAAAAACTCACACTGGAAATGATGTCCTGAGTGTTTAGAGCAATATGCTGTACTCCAGCTCCTCCATAGTATTCCACATATTCTTTGATTTGACTTTTTTTCTTCCCATCTGCAGGTTCATTAATTGGCATCTGAAAACATGAATATTCGAATTTTCTCATTTGTACTACAGGTTTCTGTAAAACCGTAGAATTGTGTTGCTTGGGACATTGGTGTGAATTGGGACAAATTACATAAAACCGGCTCTATCGGCTGGTAACGAAACTAAAACTGTAGTACCAGAGGGCTTCGGTAAATGTCAGGGTAGTCATTCACGAGGGATGAGATATTTTTTTACGTTTAGTGTCGGTGTGTATCAACTTCAAATACAGTGAGTGAATAACAAGTTTTCATGGCGATTACACTTCCTATGCCAGACAATGGATTATTTGACACAGGTACTTCTAGTATTTTTTTCTGCTCCCCAACATATCACAAAACTTTACCCTAGTATTATCAACTACCCTAGTATTATCAACCTAACTTTTTAATTTTTGATGGTTACTTTTAGGGTCGTTTGGGACATACCGCTTTTTTTGAAGATTGGTTTTTGACGATAGCTTTGCCCTACCTCAAGAAATTGAATGGGCCTAAAGTTGTATTGGGTGATGACCTTGCTAGTCTCATTTCAGTTGAAGTTTTGCAGGAATGTTAAAATAACGAAATTCGATTCATCTCATTGCCACCCAATAGAACACACCTCACACAACCTCTTGATTTGAGCTGCTTTCGCCCGATCAAAGGTACCTTGCGAAATATTTTAAAATTGTGGAAGAGGCAAGAAATTACATGTTCCCCGGTTTATTACGTCAGACCTTTGCGAAAGTTGGTCGAAGTTCATAGTGAAATTGCCACCTCCACAAAGATTAAGGAGAGGAGGCATGGTTCTTAATGAAATCGCTCTGAAAAAAACATGTTTTCTAATCACTAATATTCAACTTCTTGGAAAGAAATTGAGTTTATTTCTTGTTTTCTGCATTAAACAGGCGCCTTCGTTTAGTTTATTTGAATGAGATATTTAATTCACACTTATATTATTGTGCCTTATCATCAAATCATCCTAGTAGCCCCAAAAAATATTCAATTTTGTTCCAATTTTCGATGCATTCGTTAGATATATATTTTTTGAACCTTTTTTGCGTCCCAAGACACCTTAATGAAACGTTCCTTGACGAAAAACATGCAAAATAATGACGTGTCCCAAGTGTTCAAAATCGATGGGTGTCTTGGGACAGCATATTTTATGTTTTTTTTTTTTACCAAAACGGGTTGATTTTTTGCACCAAATTCCATCCCAACTTGTAGCCCCAAGTATTTGGCATGATACAGTATTTTTTAAAGGACCAAAAGTTTTAAAGTTTTTCAACTATGGTCAATTGAATCTCAAAATCGTCCCTTGTCACCCAATTCTACGGTACTCAAAATGTACCGAATGTTCACCATGAACTAGGAAATGGGATGAGTAGTTCAAATGAATACCATGGCTAAAGGCCTAGCTGGCTAAAGAGGTATTTCAAAAAATTATCCACCAATTTACCGTTGTTTGTGTTTCTCACCTTTACATTCTCTTCCCAGTTGCTCATTACGATGGATCTCAAAGATGAATATTCGGTGAATACTTGAGAATCATCAACCGACCAAAATCTATGAAATTGCAAAACCTTTTCATACCATTTGGCGACTGATTCCATTTCGCCGTCAGGCTGGTTCCCCACCACATGGTCGATGAAGTCCAGTTTGCCTGGCGGCCTGGAAACCAGAAATAGTCATTTATTATACAAGGGAGAAAAGTTGTTGTTGTTTTTTGTCTCCCTCCGCTACGCATCGGGAGACAACACAACCTGGAGCTAAAATCTAATATTTTTCCCCTGTGATACATGTTTTTTTTCTGTGACAGGAAAAAGGACGAATCAATATTGAGAAGATACTTATTACATAATAATTATTAAAATCTGAAAATTATCAACATGAAATTTGAAGTTTTTATCATTCTTTTGAAGTAATCAAATATCTGCTAGTGGTTGTTTAGTGATTTTCGTGACTGCTAAGTCGAATGGATGATAAAACTACTTGCAGTTCTTTCTCGGAGACGGTGTTATTGGCTTATTTTTAGGAACTATATGTATAGCGCAACAAAAGCCATCAACAGTGTATACCGGCACTAAGTGCAATAAAGAACTTCTTTTTCCACTAAATATAGTTCAATAAAGTTTTTGCATGAATGTAGAAAAAGATTATTTTTCTTCTTCTCTCAGAAAGAAAAAGAAGACGAAACAAAAATGAAAAATTCTCGTCGCACGCAGTTGGCTGTTGAGCGTTGAGCGATTCGATATTTTTCGATTGTCAATTAAAATGATGAAGATTCATTATGTGGTTTTTGTTCTCAAAAATACTTTTGCACATAGTTTTTTAGGTTTCTTTGTATATTATCAGTGCAAGTACAAGATGTACATATTCTAATGGCAAGCGGACATGATCTCCCGATTGTCCCGACTTCACAACAAAAAAGTGGAGTTTAGTAAAGTCGTGGTACCTAAAGAAAGCTTATTCTTTTGCAGTAGTTTAGAATCAAGATAATAAATTGATTTGAATTGAAAACATCCGAGATCCTAAATAGTGTGATATGCTATGAATGATGTTGCAATAAGAACCCACCTTCCTCATCTACAATAGGTACCTATTTAATTATGGTTGGATGAATAACTTTCTGCATAACAGAACAAATCAATGAATGTCTTTTAAATTAGAGTGAATAGTCAGTTCAACATAGGCATAAAAGGAGTCATACAAGTTCTTACAGGTTTTTTCCTAAAGCATCTTCTTCGGTTTTAACGAATCCTGGCAAGAAAGCTCCTCTGTAGTTGCTTCTGTCGATTAAAGTGTGGGTTACATCTCCATACTGAAATAAATAATAGCATTATAATATTTCTTTGTATACCTACCAGGAGAATTAATTGTATTTGGTTACTTACCGTTTGTATCTTGGCAAGACGAACGGTTCCATGGACATCTGATTCTTCCCAAATGTCCTTCCTTATTTTAGCACCATTTTGTTTGGCTTTCTGAAAAACAAACATTTAGGAATGTTTGGATCTTTCCTAATGAGGTAGGTACCACAAAAGAACGACAAAAGATCCAACAAGAAAGTCTCATCATATAGTTCATTGGTATAATTATGAAGATTGTTTTTTTCTTGAGGCTGAATATTGAATAAGAAAATTGAGAACGAAACTTTCTTTCTCAAAAAATTGCAATACACTGACAAAAAACTCAAAGAAGTTATATTTTATCTGGGAGTAGGCACAGCAGTGAGAGTAGTTATATTTTTGGCATGAATCTGAACAGTTCACAATTTTCTATTAATCTTCTTAATTATTCTAAATTCAGAGAATCATTCTTGAAATCAGCTGTAGAAATACCGGGTGGCTACGGAAGTATTGCCTACGGAATATCTCAGTTATTGTATGAAGTAGGTTTGTGAAATTTGGAGCGTCGATATAATGACATAAGAGCTAGAATTTGAGGATATTGACATGTCGAAGTTAACTTCCGGTCTGACCGGAAGTAACATCAACTTTCCTATTTTAAATGGAAACCCTATTTTTTTTTCTTTTCGCTTCATTCTGCATTCAATTCCCTTTCTAATGACATATCACAAGTTGGTATCTAACCAGAAATTAGATCAGAAAAAAAATATTATTGAAATTCACCGAGTAGGCCGTGGAAGCAAAATGAAAGCCAAAAATTGAAAAGTTGGCTATGAAAACCATACGTCACTTGATAACATTTGCTACTACTGTGATATTTTATTTTCATTCGTCGGCGTTATAAAAAGCCGCAAAAAAAATATTGGAAAAATTGGGAGAAAACAATACTCAGTAGGTCCATAACTTAAAAAGGAACATACAACTTTTTCTTGCCTGTACTATTCAGCATAACCATTCCTTTCTAATGATACAGTAGTAGCAACTGTTATCAAATGACGTATGGTTTCCATAGCCAACTTTTCAATTTTTTGTTTTCATTTTGCTTCCACGGCATACTCGGTGAATTTCAATAATATTTTTTCTGATCTAGTTTCTGGTTAGATACCAACTTGTGATATGTCATTAGAAAGGGAATTGAATGCTGAATAAAGCGAAAAGAAAAAAAAAATAGGGTTTCCATTTAAAATATCGCTTGTCGAACAAAGTGTCGCATTTGATCCTAATAAAACAATGTACTTTTTCTTACCAAAATGATCCCATCCAAGTTTTCAACTGAAAACGCTACATCTCTCACACCATCTCCATGTTTGGCGATATGCGCATTCAAGTCCTTCTCATCAGGCTCGTAAGGTGATACAAACACAAAAATTATCTGGAAAACAGAAATAAATATACGGACTGTCCTGCTTTCAGAAAGACGCATACATAGTGTTATTCAAGTATCTGGCTGAACTTCAAGCGGTGATCATTTGGGTGATTCTAAGAAGAAAAGTTCATGTGAATATAGGTCCTGAATTGCTTCGTTTTCAAGATACAGTGTGTTGAAGTTGGAAGTATTGATTCTTTTTTTTGCATGATTACCCTGAAGAAGCTACTGTGTTACGAAGCATTTTGTGGAAATCTTATCTTTTGTGAAGTTTTTTACATTTACTATCGATTTCCACCAAGTAACGGCCAGGTACGATAAACCTCCATTTTCGGAAATTAGGCACAATGTCTACATCAAAATACGGTATATTGGATTAACTTGAAAGAGTTGATAGCAAATACATATCATTAATAACTAATAAAACAAATTCAACAGTGGTGAACTGTTGAGGTCTAATTGATCATCAAGTAAAATGTCAACAATTTTGAGTTTGTTGATTTCTAATGATTCAAAATGATTGAGTTTCAGTCCTTTATTTTCTACGTGCAGAATTTCGAAATTATCATCAAAACTATGTTTTTCTTCTAATATATGGTTGGCGTATGTTGAATTTGTTTTCTTTTTCATAAAATTCATCTTATGTTCATGAATGCGCTGATTAAACGTACGACCTGTCTGACCGATATATACCTTAGGACAAGATCCACATTTGAGTTTGTATACCCATGATTTTTCGAATTTAGAAGTTTTGTGTTTATTATTCTTGATAAACCGTCCCAACCTGTTATTTGTTCTATATGCCACGTTCAAGTCCTGTTTATGTAGAAATGAAGCTAATTTCTCAGTTTATGATCCGAAATAGGTTAAAGTTCTATAATTTTGATTATTATTCTTGATGGTAGGATAAACCTCTTGAATAGCTTTATGATGAAGTTTTTTAGAAAGAATACTGTCTATCATATTAACGTTGTATCCGTTGTTGACTGCAATCTGTTTTATGATATTGAGTTCTTTATTGAAATTTACTTCCGAAAGAGGGACATTCACTAGCCTGTGTATCATACTATATGCTGCAATTTTATGTTGATAAGGGTGTGTTGAATTATTATGAATAGTGATATCAGTGTGGGAAGGTTTATGGAAAATTGAAAAATCATGTTTATCGTTGATTTTACTTATTGTCAAATCTAAGAAATTTATTGAATTTTCAGTTTCTATTTCTATTGTGAATTTAATGTTTGGATGAATAGTATTTATATATTGATGGAAAGTGTCTAATTGTCTATTGGTTCCTTCGAAGCATACTATAACGTCATCTACGTATCTATACCAATACAAACATTGTTTTATTAATGAATGTTTATGTTTATGTTATGTAATTTCTGAAAAAGGAGGTTTATCGTACCTGTCCACAGGTAACTAATCCTTCAGGTTGGGAAAGTAAGGTTTATAAAAGTTAAGCAAGCCAACGTTAGTTTGGTTCATTGTACCAGTATATCACCTGACGAAGCTACTGTGTTAGCAAAACATGTCGTGTGTTTGAGAATTTTGGAAATCTTATCGTTTGTGAAGTTTTTACATTTGTCATGGATTTCCATCAAGTAACGGCCGAGTCAATTCAAAATTTGAAAGCCAATAATTCATTATCAGTCCTCTAGCCCATTGTGTAATAAGTTGTGGAGGTGATAATTAGAGTACTCAGCATTTACAGTGTGTCCCACTTTGAGCAGCACCACCTTGGTATTTTCTTAATCGCTGACAGATTTCAAAAATTTTGTGTTTAAACATGTACTTCTCAATGAGTTCTACATTTCTGAGTACCCAACACTCTGATTGCACTACGACACGGCCAACTATGATAAATTGAAAATGCCTAAAATCAGTTAGTAATATCAGAAATATTCTCAGCGGAAAACTGACATCTCAACATGTTGAGAACTCCAGATACATGTGGTCAAATTTTCATGTTGATATCATATACAGGTCGTTATTTATTGTCAATTAATTTTTGATGCTTGAAAATAATGAGAAAAGTATAATTAACATCATGATTCCATTCAAATACTACTAAAATACACATATTTCATAATGCGAGACAGAATTTTGGTGGCATGTCATAACATTACTCCTAGTACATTAAAGAAGGTGGCAACAAATAACAGAAGACGAATTCAAAAATGTATAGAAAATAATGGATTGATCGAAAATACTGAAATTTAGGGAATAGCAATGATAGACGGTGTTCACGAGTTGAATCATTTCTGTTAATAAGTAGTATTAAAAAAATCACTCTGCTCACAAGTTATTATTATTATCTTTAAATATTCGGAATAAACATAGGAACTATCATATTTGAAACACAAGGAAAGGAAACAAATGTTGAAAACAAGAAAATTCAATTTTAATTGAAGCAACCATGAAAGTTATAAAAAAATATTCGTAGTTCAAATATCATCCTGTGTATTAGGTCATTATGAAACATGTGTTTTTAAGTAGAATCTAAATGAAATCATTATGTTAATTATACTTTTCTCATTATTTTCAAGCATCAAAAATTAATTGACAATAAATAACGCCCTGTATATGATATCAACATGAAAATTTGACCACATGTATTTGAGGGAGTTCTCAACATGTTGAGAATGTCAGTTTTCCGCTGAAAAAATTCCTGATATTACTAACTGATTTTAGGCATTTTCAATTTATCATAGTTGGCCGTGTCGTAGTGCAATCAGAGTGTTGGATACTCAGAAATGTAGAACTCATTGAGAAGTACATGTTGAAACACAAAATTTTTAAAATCTGCTAGCGATTAAGAAAATACCAAGGTGGTGCTGCTCAAAGTGGGACAGACTGTATCAAGATTTCTTACCTCATTTTGTCGTACTACATGATGTGCGTATTGCCTGCTTCCTGTTTCGAGGCCTTTGTATGCGAGAGGTTCAAATCCTAGACGGGTAATATAATAAGATGCAGCCTAGAAAAATTGAAAAACTTCAAAAACGAAAATAGCAATTCACCAATTTCTGCCCTAGTTAGTTTTGTTTTCGTGTTGAATAACTCATTTAAAATATCGAGTCAGTTTTTTAACCCAGACTTTGGAGCACACGAAAAGAAATCCCGATTTTTTTCATCGCTTGGAGCGCACGAAAAGGAATCCCTATAATGTTCGAAGAATATATTGCGTACCTGAATGAATAGGTTCCAATTATTCAATTATCATAAAAAGGAGAATTTAACAATTGATAGTGTAAATCGTATGTTAATAATAATAATAATAATAATAATAGTTTTATTTCCCACCACGTATTACAACAAGATACATGTAATTTAATGAAAATAGTAATTAATAAAATAAAATTATCAAACATTTTGGCAGAGTATGAGAGTAACACAGTGAGAAAAAGGCACATTGATTCAGATAGCAGTAGATACTGCTTCTGTTCTTCCATCACGGCCTGAAGAGATACAAAAAAATCATTTCACAGCGTAATGTCTCCTTTATATCAACGTTTAAAGTGATTTCGAAAAAAAAAGAAGGAAAAGAAGAAAGAAAGAAAAAGAAGAGAGGAGAGAAAAGAGAAAAGAAAGAGCATTATTTTTAATCAAGGCATGAGCAAGCATGAGTTCACTGGGTATCAAATAAGTATTTTTTGAATTTGAGACGAAATGCTGATCGCGATAATTCCAAAAAAGTGCTGTCTAGTTTGAGAATATTATTGATACAAATTGCGGCATTGTAAGAGAAAGAACGTCTATATATTTGTTTAGTGTGTCTGGGAACAGTCAGCAGTGTTTGACGACGAATGTTCAGATTGTGGACGTCAGTTCTGAATTTTAATTTCTTATGAAGATAGGGTGGTGTGTTTGATTTAAGTATATTGTGGAACATACACGCCATATGATGACGTCGCCTATTATCCATATTGAGCCATTTCAATTGTTTGAGCTTTTCCGAAATAGATATTCGACTAGATTTACGTATGCCATAAATGAGACGAACACAAGATGTTTGCACTTTTTGTATTCGGCGAGCATCTATCCCGTTCAAGCAAGGACTGTATACTACATCGCAGTGGTTGAAGTGTGAGAGAACCAAGGAGTCGCAGAGCATTTTTTTCACCTCCACTGACAGAAACTGTCTCTGCGTATAAATCAGCTTAAGAGATGAATATGCATTCCTCAATTTATTTGTAATATGTTCATTGAAACGAATAGATGTATCTATTGTCAAGCCCAGATTTTTGTGCGAAGATTTAATAGGTATTTCCGTATCACCTATTTTCAGGGTGATTTGATCATTCGATGCATATAATGAATTTCCTTTGCCAAATATCATTGCAACAGATTTTTTGGGGTTAATTTTCAGAGCATGATCGCTTGATAATTTTTGTAATGAATCAAGATCGGTGTTGATGTAATTAATGGCTATTGCCAGATCCGAAAAATTGAATGAAAAATAAATCTGTGTGTCGTCAGCGTAAAAATGGTAATTACAGTATTTCAAAACTTCTATGAAATTCGAAGTATATAATGTGAATAAGAGAGGACCAAGAATACTACCCTGAGGTACTCCACAAAGTAGTTTCTTGGGAGTGGATTTCTCGTCATTGATTTTTACTATTTGTGTTCTATTATGCAAATATGAAGCCATTAGAGAACGTGCTGACTTGCTGAATCTAAAGTAATGTAACATTGATAAAAGTATATCATGATCAATCAGATCAAATGCCTTCGAATAGTCAAGAAGAATTAGTATACTCATTTGATTTTTATCGGTCGCCTCTAAGATGTCATCCAATACATCTGCAAGGGCTGTTGCACAACTATACCCTTTTCTGAATCCCGATTGTTTTGGAGGTAGGATATTGCTGAAAGACATAAAGTTGCGAATTTGTGTTTCCATTATTCTTTCTATAATTTTCGAGCAAGTAGGTAAAATACTAATCGAACGAAGATCACTGTATTCCATCGGTTGACTAACTTTTGGAATTGGGGTGACTTTAGCAAACTTCCATGAGTTTGGAAAGTAGTTTTTCGAGAAACATTGATTTATTATATGAGTGATGATGGGTATTATAAGAGGACAGCAGAGTTGAAGTCCATACTTTTCTCTAAATGGAGTGTAGTGATGAAAGGGTTAAAAAAACACAATATCAGCTCCACAACGTTTAATAATGGAAAGATTATTTAGGGGAACATGTTTCGGACAATCATGTGTCCATCATCAGCCTTAATCCTTATAAACCAAAGGTCGTGGGAATGAAAAAAAACATTATGAAAAACTTTGAATAAAATAATTGTGCGAAGCACCGGTTAAGGGTGGAAAACGAGCAGATCCGTATTATGTCAGACAGTCAAGCGGCACTTGAGGCAATAGAAAGCCAGGAAGTGACATCTCGACTGGTATGGGATTGCAAGAGGGAACTGAGCACTCTGGCAGACCGGAACTGCGTCAAGCTAATCTGAGTGCCAGGTCATCAGGGGATCGCTGGCAATGAGAAGGCTGACGAACTTGCAAGAAGAGGGTCGGACAACGAGCCAGATCCAGGACAGACTCTTGGAGTACCAAAACGTACAGCACGAGTGTCAGTTAAAGACTGGATTCAGGCAAAACATATGAGCTACTGGGAAAACATCCCAAGAAACAGACATGGGAAACAATACATAAAGGAACCAAGTCATAAACGAACTGTAGACCTGCTCAACTTGAACAGAGCACAGATAAAAACTGTTACAGGACTCATGACTGGCCATGCGCCAGTAAAGGAGCATCTCGCCAGAATGGGACTGTACAATGGCGACCCAAGCTGCAGACTATGCGGCAAGGAACCAGAAACAGTAGCACATATACTGTGCAGACCGCAGAAGACAGAAGATCTTTGGGCAACCAGTTGGCGAACCAGAAATATTCAACTCACATCCAGTGAAGGATTTGTACAGACTTGTTCAAGGTACAGAGATAATGGAGTGGGCACAATAAAGAACTACTAGGTAAGATACAATGGGCCACCATAGGCCTAAGTGTCGTCGGAGACATGGTCAGACGAGCCTACAAACGGGGTGCAGATTTTAGTGGGTAAACCCTGGCTAGAGTCAGGAGAGTCTCACATTATCATATGGGGGATTGGACCCATATGGTGTCCATAAAGGATTTAAACCACCTCGACAAAAAAACGGTTAAGGGTCAGGTTAATTGTAAAGGGGTCCTGTGCCCCTATGAGGACGTACATGATCAATATTTAATGGCGAAACCCATTTTCAGAAAAAACGGAAAGACGGTGGAGTCAAGTAATTACTTGAAAAACAAACCTACCAATGTTTTTTCCCCACGACCTTTGGTTTGTATGGATTAAAGCTGATGATAAATAAATAATAATAAATCCATTATTGAACGTTGTGGAGATGATTTTGTGTTCTCTAACCCTTTCTTTCAATTGATAGTGTAATTAATATACAATAGAGAGAGGAGGTAGGGGTTGAATTTTTTTTGAGTTTTGAAGATTTCAAATTCTTGGGAATACTTCCTTGGGCAATGACTTCCAGAGCGTTGCTGTTCTATAGACAAATGAGTTTTGACAATAAAGTGCTGTTCGACATATTTAGAGGTTGACAACGAAAGGATGTGTTGACTGGGCCTGCCGAGTTTGTCTGACTGGTATAGCTAGTGATGGAATGATAGCAGAGAAATCTGAAGAACATTTCCCGTGGAATTCTCTATAGAAAAGTGAAAGGTCGTGGACTATTCTGAGGTGTTCCAATGATGTCAAAGAGTTTGCATCACTCACCAGGCGAATGGCTCTTCTCTGGATGGAATCTTAGACCATCAGCATATGTTTGGATGCTGAACCCCATACGTGGGATCAGTATTCTAAAACAGGCCGTACCTGTGCTTTGTATAGTTTCTCGCACGGTATAAAAATCCGAGGTTTTGTGAAGCAGATTTCACGATGGATCTGACATGACTATCCTATGAAAGAGCTTACTGAGTTTCGCCTTTCTAGAGAAAATACAGATTTGACTTTTGGTGGCATTGCATTCAACTTAGTTTGCTGCCTTCACCGGGAGTTATTAAGTTCCTGGGAAGATATGCGAATTCTGGAAGAGTAAATAGTATGGAAAGTACTATATCGTTTGCAAAGCTATGGATAGAGCAAGTGCTATGGTATCAGACGACGAATGGAGCGAGATATGGTAAGCCTTTTCAAATTTGATAATTTAGATTTAGATATTTTCGAAATTTAATTTCTTTAACTTTCGGGACTGTCTAGTCATTAATCTAAAACTCTCTGCTACAAATTTTAAATTAATTATTTTGCACAAAATACAAAAAATTGTACAATACTTAGTTTACCTGTTTGGCATTGGATACGTTGAAAGTTAAGTGGTCGAAGTTCAAGAATTTTCCGGTAGTCGGCTAAAAAAATGGAAAACTTGGTATATTATATTCTGAAGAATTTGGTTTCCTACCTTTGGTCCTTTGTCAGAATAAGTTGTCTGGAACAAAAAATTAAACAACATTCAATATTTTAAAATATTCCGATATATATTATCCCTTACATAACTAAGTATAGGTATATTACTTGGAAAATATCTAATGCTTTTTTTTCTCTCGATTTTTGGGATTCTCTCTACGTCTCTATGAATAAAAATACATTTTGAAAACTTCCCACCCTCAATATCTACCATCCAGTTAATAATATGAAAAATCGAAAAAACAGGTCGATATTATTTACGAGGGGCACACTTAAAATGATTAGTGATGAATATTTGAAGGAGAAGAATACATAATATAGGTTTATTGAAATATATAATTCATCTTCTCAACCTTTCAAATCGAAACTGAACAGAAATAATACCTTCAAGTCCATTTCTTCCTGTTGAATTGATAAGGATATAGAAACATATGGTATTCTTTCAATCATATTTTCTCTATTTTCTGTAAGAAAATCAAGGTGAAGAATTGATTGGTTTTGATTTATTGAGGTTCTTTTGAATTTTAATCATATTTTGCCTATTGCTTCCCTCCTAAGGTATGTAAGACAATGAGCATATATACCGGGAGACATGGTTCACTCCTCTTTTCTCCTTTATTTTAATAGCTTTGAAATTTGAAATTTGAAATTGGAAAATCACCATTTGTTGGTGACAACAAACATATTTTTTTCTGTCAGGGGAAAAAAGTTTGGCATGTCATCTCTGTTGGCAGGTTATAAAATGTCACTTTTCATAAATTACTTTTTTCCTGTGGGAAAAAAGTGAGTACTTTTTTCCCGGATATATATCACATATATATACACACTGGTGATGGCTTTTGTTGTGCTATAGTTCCGAAAAATGAGTCAATAATACCGTCTCCGAGAAAGAACTGCAAGTCCTTTTATCTTCCATTCGACTTCGCGGTTACGTATATTACTGAACAACCACTAAATATTTAATTTTTTCAAATCAAATCACAATATTAGACTGACAGAAGTGACATCATATATTTGATTACTTCAAAAGCATGACAAAGATGCCTACAACGCAGGTGTCCCTACTGTTAAAAACTTAAAATTTCACGAGGATAATTTTCAGAATTCAAAATATTGTAATATCTTCTCAATATTGATTCGTCCTTTTTTCTGTTACAGAAAAAAATAGTTAATTATACACGGGAAAAATATTAGATTTTAGCTCACGGTTTTTTTGTCTCCCTACGCTACGCGTCGGGACACAACACAACCTGGAGCTGAAATCTACTACTTTTTTCCTTGTATAATAAATAACTATGTATTCATTTACATATATATATATCACTTCACATCACTTAACATCATCAACATCAACATAGCTGTCACAAACATATAGTGGTTACCAAAATTGACACCTGAGAAAACTCGTCTATGTCAAGCAGTATGAAAAGGGATGGTTACCTACATTATTCAACAACTTATATCTATAAAAAGTAAAAAAAGAAAAATCAATGAACATAATGCCCACTTGATCTAATCAATGAAACAATAAATAAGAAATGAATGCTAGCAGGTAGCTTCTTATTTCGTTGAAGAAGGATAAGGAGGATGTGTAGAATTTATATTAATGTTATCAAATGTTCATAATTGTTCACTATATATTTTTTTATGCTTATTTTGAATTTGTATTCATTCAATGTTTTGATGCTTTGAGGCAGATTATTATATAGATTTCCACCATTATAAATTACTGATTTTTGTCCTGCAGTTGTTTTGCACTACCCCTTGTTTCATATGCGTGGTTCATCTTAGGAATGACAGATCTGCTGTGAACATATTTGAGTACTGAAAGCATATAGAGACCTTTCAAGTCTAATTTTTTGTGAATAGTGGTTTATTTCTGAAATTTGGAACATCGAATATGCTCACTAGAGGGCACTTTCTCACCTTTTGAGAATATTTTTTCATCTTCCGGTTTTCCTGGAAATGACATCAACTTACTATTTTCGAATGAAATGCCCTGTATTCTATTCCATCATAATCGGTTAACGATTATTATAACGGATTCAACGGTATCGGGTTTGATAGTGTTATTTCAAACAATTACGGAGATATTCGCGTATTTGAAAATCGAAAGTTGATGTCATTTCCAGGAAAACCAGAAGATAAAAAAAGTCCTGAAATGTGTGAAAGTGCTCTCTAGTGAGCATATTCGATGTTCCAAATTCCAGAGATATAGCTAGAAAAACAACGGAGAAAAGAGGGATATACCATGTTTCTGTGTCACCCGGTATACTTAGTCATTCTTTATTTTCTTATTTTAATCTATTTTCCGCGCATAGCTTTCCTAAGAAACATTTCATCCTGTCGTTGCAGAAAAACTAGCAAAACTAGAAAAAATATCGTTAAAAATTGAATAGCGAAACGACATGACAATTGAAATGTTGAATTATCCGAAGAAATATTTATTGAAATGTATCTTACCATGCTCACAAACACAATCCAATAGAAACTCTTTTGAGATAATGGTACATGCCTATAGTGCGCACCACCTTTTATAAACTTTCGTGGCAAATATCTAAATATGAATGATTAATTAATTCGAAAAGTATTAATTTCTTGTTTGTTGAATGGGCTCTCGCTGTTTCGAATCGCCTTGATAATTATGCAAAAAATTTCCTCTTAGCAACCAACTCCTAGCAGAACGAGATCTTTCTGTAGCTATTTCTGCGGATCTTTAATACAGTGTGAAGTGAAAAAACTCAGATACCGACAAAATTAAAATCATTAGTTTTCAAGTTTACAAAAACTGGAGCCACAATTTAGGAAATTCTTGATTACTTGAATTTTCAATTTAACATTTAGAAATGTCAACTTGATATCTTGAAATGATAACTTCTTGGTATTTGAACAAACCAAGTGGAAATTTCAAAATAATATATTGGAGTTTAGAAAATAGAATGTTGAAATTGCAAGAACAATTTTTGAATACAGGGTGGCCCATTTCGTTGTCTCACTATTGCTAAGGCTGGAACGGTGAGAGATAAAAAGTTGGTTAAACGGAGCATTTCCCATCTCGAGGGACATGAGGATTATGTGAGGAATTCAAAGATATTATTGAGAAAAAACAAATTGTCGATTTTCGTTTTCGAGCGCTAGCCCTTTCATTTCGAACAATAGGGAAAAACTACACTCACATGTTTCTTCGATTTCGTTATTAAATCTGGTGAAATCAGAGATAGCAATAGTGGGACAACGAAATATGGAACACCCTGTATATCAAAATGCAATATGACCGTCAGTTGAAATTTCAAGATACTGAGTTGGAATTGCATGATTAAGGTCCATTATCCTGGATACTCATTGTATTATTAATAATGATTTGTCAGATGAAGACGATGCTGGGAATAATATGGAATACAAGCATTGCCCCAGAAATGAGTTCATTACATTAAAATGTCTCCATAGTAAAAATATGTACTCATATATCGAAGGAACCGAACAAAAATAATGTTTTTTTGGAATTATATCCTCGTTTCTATATAAGAAAAATGGTATTATTTCAGGTCATATTTCAACTTCATCTATACAGGAGGGAACAAGAGGAAGTTCTGGGGCATCCTGTACGTATAGTAAGTACAAATCAGATTATTTGCCCCAAAATGTCACTGCGTTTACTCATATTTTTATTTATAGAAACGAGGAGAGAAAATCCCCGAAAAAAAAAACATCTCGATTATCCTACAAATAGTATTTAAAAATGTTTCAAATTAAAATACTCATATCTGGGACACCCTGTATATTTCTGTGAACCAATCAGATATGATTCATTCAAGGCAGTAATCTTTTATCTTGAATCGAAACTACTATATTTTAGGTATTGGAAACAAACGTAAATATTGCATCAGCCAGGCCAATAGTTCTCATGAATGAATACCTATAGGAAAGGGAACTATAGTACTACGAATACTACAACATTTGTAGTATATAGTAACAGATTTACTACTAAGATGCTGATGCAATACCCTAATGAGCTTATGACTGATCTGAGTTCAATGAGCCTAGAAAGAAAGAAAAACAATGAGTAAACAAACATAGTTTGAAAATGGTAATCTCTTGTGACTTTGACTTCTCTGAGAAAACACATTCTTTTTTGAGGTGAACTGGAAAAAATTGCTAGGAATTATGTTCTTTGTTTCGATTTTGATCACTTAAGTTTCCAAATCGACATATTGCAAATCCTTTAAAATATTTGATGGGCCGATAGTACAAAATCCAAAAACAAAGTTATCATTTTCTATAAACTCATTTCCAAAAATGAATGAAGGGAGATATATATGCCTCTTCGGAGGGAGATGGATAATCGAGTGGATGTTTAAAATCAGTTCTCCTGCAATGTACCTATATAATTATCTAAACACTCGTTTACATACTATCAACGATGGTCTGAGTATTGTAGAACTTTCAATTAGGCTGAAGATGGTCTTTTATAAGACCGAAACTTGTCCCTTCTCATTGTGTAACAAACACCATTAAAATTTGTGGAGATGACTTCGAGCATTCCTTCTTTCCTTTGCTGAATATTCGAGATAATTCTGCCGCTTTATCGTTCACGAAACACGAAGTTGTGTAGCCGAGCAACACCACGAGTCCGTCACGACGAGTGGTATTGCTGTACCGCAACACAATTGAGTTAACAATGAGAGACACAATTATGAGACGAAATTCAGAACCGAGGGTTATTTTGCTAGACTATTTCACGAAGCATTATCAATAATTATTATAAATGAACAAGCCATATAACTCCAGATAAGCGATTTATTCTGACACCTACAGCTATAATTTCCTGCCAAACTGACAGACTTTCCCTTGCTTTCCATGCTGTTATATCGTTGAAAACACTAACACTGATAGACCAATCAGAATTAAAAGATAACTAGTGTTTCGCGATAATACAAGTTGTCTATGGCTTGCAATTGGTCAGATTATTATGTGAGAATTTTAGGATGAGTGAAATAGTCAAATCCTCTCTTCTACTCAAGAAATATTTTCGCGGGTTTGTCAGTGATTCACTGAATTTTACCCATAACTTTTTTACTTTTTGTACATTTTTGTAATACCACAAGTGATACTATTGTGACAAAAATATTCGATTGTTACGACAGCTTGTTGCCTTATAATTTCGAGCCGTGGGCGAGAAGTTTTGGAACACTAGCATGAGCGAAATTAAAGCAGCAAGCTGGAGCATGTCAATCGACGTATATTTCCAGGAAAAATAGTATCACTAGTTGTATTCGTATGAGTATTTCATGATTGAGACAATAAATGAGTGGCTCGCGAGAGCTGCGCACACTGCATCCATCATAATGGCTTCCAACATAATTGACGTTATTAACGTTAACAATTTTATCGAAAAACGAGGTAGATTAGTCACGTGTGGGTCAATTCGGCTTCTGCCTTCTGTATTGGTAGAGCAAGCTTAAAAAGTCCGAGAAAATTTAGTAAACAAAAAAAAATCGCTGTAAAACAGAAGAAACTGTGAAAATGGCCGATTCTGATTCTCGAGAACAAGAGTGGGATATTCACTTATAATATCACGAGAGCTTCAGTTATTTCCGGAAATTAATTGAAGCTAAAAGTGGTATTCGCTAAGAAAATTTACATGTTGATGGTTGTTTGTGATGAAATGTAAGAACTAACGTATAGTAACAACATGTGTTTTTGTAAATTTCGAATTTTGACTTATAGAATGAACTCGAAATAATCTGAAGTTGAATGTAAATGTCATTTAACCTATAAACGTCAAAAAAGTTCCAGTGTAATTTCATGTTCCGCCCCCCCAAGAAGGAGGAAAAATTCTCCAAGAAATTTGTGTAGTTGCTATGGTAACGATACGAAATACAGGCTTTAAATTGATCGAAAATGTTTGGTGTGAAATTTTCACGAGTATTTTTTTCTGCCATCGTCCAAAAATTCACTACTTTTTGTACTCTTCAGTAAAAAACATACTCTATACACTTTTTTATAGTTGCACTCTTGTCGCAAGAGTTTTTTTGTTGTATATGTACATGATGATTCACGACAATAATTCAAGTGAATATGTTTCTATCTTCGATCTTTGACAGTTCACCACAGTGTATTTAGCCATTTAATTATAAAGTAGTTATTGAACCCATCGATCAAATAAGGATATAGAATGGTCTGATATATTGATCAATATTTGAATAGAAACCAGTACGAGTTCATAATAAATTCAATACAGGCTGTTGCAGAAACGTGGCGAAATAAATATAAATATATTATTACAAGATTGTTTATATGTATTAATATTAAAAAAAGGTGTGTGCTTTTTCAGCCAATCAGGTCCGCCTGAAATCATACGATTCGCTAAGTAATTTCGAATTCAATACACGTGTTGTTTATCCTAGATGTAAATTTCCCATAATTTATTCGCCAGATTTGAAATTCTCAGCTTTTACAAAAGCTGTCCGTCTTGTTTTTCGAAGGTTAACAAGGACATTTGAATTGCAGTCAGTTCTGATATGTTGCTATAATGCCATAATCCCATTTCCTATTATCAGATATTATAATCTCGATTATAATACAATGTCAAATTGAATATCTATAATATATCATTCAATAAGCGCGTATTGATGATTTTCTCATGAAAATGGAATTTGCAGTATGAGTCGAAGGCAAGTGCTGTAATAACCCGAGTGGGTTATAGCCATCATGCGCGAGTAGAATACTATACTTTATCTACAGCTGTTTGATTATCGAAGCATCTTCGAGAATTCGAAAATAAAACTTTGAAAATCAGATAGTTTGTACTGCAATATTATTCAAGTAGGTAAATATAATTGAACATTTTAATGTCATCGAGAACTTATTGAGAATCTTTTCTAGAATTGATCAACAACTCATTTCCTTAACCTAACAATCGATTATGACATATGTCACAAAAAGACGATGAAGGGACAAATAGTGGGGTTTTATGGCAAGGTATCGAAAAAGGATATTTGTTAGAGGTTGCTACATTTTCACGTTCACCAATTGGCACTACTAAAACGTAAGGTTAGTGTCAATGTCAAAAATCCCAAAATTTTGCCGGAGTTTGGTCTGTTTTATCGAAAATATGCGAAAATAAAAATGATGTAGAATATTTGATCAAATAGAAAACCTCAAGTTATTGAAAGACTTGCGCCGACGCGTTATGGTGGACAATAAATAATGTTAGTCCTCATTATTCGAGAAAATTGGAAATAGCTTTTTTTTCAAATATTTTCCTATCCCGTTACATCAAATTTTTGTCTCCAAAATTGGTTGACAGCATTGATACACCTGTATTTCGATGACTATTTCACTCATCACATAATCTTCACAAGCCAGAGACAACGTCCGACTTTCAATTCTGATTGGTCTATCAGCGTTGATGTTTTCAACGATGTAACCATGGATAGCGAAGCAAAGTCTGGATAATCCATGGATAGCGAAGCAAAGTCTGTCAGTTGGGCATATAATAATTATGGCTGTGGTCAGAATGAATCACTTATTTATAATAAATGCTTTTATGCCTAATGAACGTGAAATAGTCTAGCAAAATACCACTCTGTTCTGAATATCTTCTCATAATTCTATCTCAATTGTGTTGCAATACCACTCGTCCTGACGGACTCTTGGCGACATAATAAATTATCTCGAATATTCAGAACATCGTGATATTACTTATGAGAATAAGAGAACAATAATCTCGTTTTCTTCACACCAGATATCATGTTACTATTAAAACCACCAAGTTTCATTGAAATTCTGACAAACAACGATTTTTCATCGAAACATTGATATCCTGTCGAGTAACATATACGTATTAATACTATTAATAAACTATGTCGAGTAATCACCCCCTGAATTTGTTCACACTGATGAGTACCTACCATATTTTAGCCTACGCCAAAACGTCGACATCATCGAAAAATACAAGTATTTTTGATAATGTGACTAATATCTTTATGTTTCCACTGTATGATGACGTTGAAGTGAATTAATGAAAGAGGAATATCAAATTATTTCACAGTGGTTGACATTTCATTAAGGGTGGATGTATTTATTCATTGACCTTTGGAGTTCCATGCACATCACGAAGTATGCATGGTGAGTGGGCGTAACACACTTAAAATATCCAGGGACGTACGAATCATTTTCCTGTGAGATAAGCACAAGCACATTATACAAACAATCCTCGAAGATGAGCATATTCCCGGAAAATAAATAATAGTTCATAGATGAACACCCAAAGTCATCTCCACAACATTTATTACGGAAAATATTTCGGGCTTATATAGGCCCATCATCAGCCAACAGAAAGTATCATAGTTCTAGAAAAATCTGTATTGACTTAGGATATAGATGCAAAAATTACTTAGAACTTACATGGAAATGAAAAAAGTAGACATACAAATAGTATAGTTGATAACAGGGCAAACAGGGAAATATGCTCCATGATCTGGAAAACAATGATGGGTTTAGAAATATTGAGGAACAAAGTGGAACAACTCACTTACAGGAAAGTAGTAGATTGGTTGATGCAGCTCAGAGATAATCTCTGTGCAGCTGATAGTTCATAACCGAGCGTAGCAAGGCTAGGAATTCAGCCCAGGCAGTCAATCTACATGTACTGCCGTGTTAATAGATTTATAATTCATTCTTCAAATGGTATAAAAACAATTTTGTTTAATCTTTTCATTGAAATCATCATCATTTTGTGTTCATCCAATGTCAGTGTCAATTTTGATTACCGATTTCATTCAAATTACTTCAAATCAAATCAAAATTTGCTCTATTGTCGAAATAAAGGTAGGTTGAATAAACATGATCAAAGATTTACGGTAACAAATACATAAACATTAGAAAATGAGTCAAGAAAAACAATATTTGGAGCTCTATCACAATATAGTTGAAAAACAAAAATAAATAACATATACTTAACAAAATAGTGCGTCAATATTCAACTAACAAACTAAAGCACAACAGAAATGTAGAAATAAAATGAAATGAAATAAATGAGGATATAAAATAATATGAAAACTGAAGAAATCTAGTCTCGAATCTAGTTATAAAATGAAATATATTGTTAGGAATCTTGATAAATTTTGGTCAAACTATAATAAGCCTTCACAATCAGAAACTTTCTGACTTGTTTTTCCGTAGGTATATAGGCAGATAATTAAACATTATCATGCTTTCATAAATTGAAGAGTTCTGAGTCAGAGCCAATGTGGCAATGGGAAGTTTGATACAATTTGAAGAGCTGCGTGTTACAAATCTAAAATCTTGATATTTCTTTTGGACTATGCACACAGTTTCTAAAATGAAGATGCAACCCAATGTCAATATTCCATGGGCTACAAACAATGATCTGCATGAATCCCTCACCCCAGCTTTACACATATATCTCAATGCTCTCTTTTGTAGAACGAAAATAGATTTGAATAAATGGTCAGTACATGTCCCCCAGAAATAAATGCCGTAACGCAAATGTGATTCGATGAGTGAATGTAAACATTTTTGGCCGCAATTAATCCCAATTCATTTGAAGTGACCCTCACAGCATAGCAGCCAGATGAAAGCTTTTTACTTAGAAGTAGTATGTGCACCCTAAAATTTTGTCAGTATCTTTATTACTGAGGCATTCATTTTCAAGGAAGGCATTATCAATATCACACCTGAAATTAATGATTCCTTAATATTGAAAGATAATAAATAGTCGTATCGTCAGCAAATACGGTGAATTGTCCCTGAATATCGATTTACATCAAGTCATTCACATATAATAAAAATAACAAGGGACCAATAAGTACAGAGCCTTGCGGAACTCCATACTTCACAGCTAATTGCTTTGAGGCTTCGTTATGAAGAATTGAAGAATGACACTTTGAGACCGGTCAGTTGAGTATGATTCTATGATTGAAACCAAAGCAAAGGTACACCTCTCAAACCATATGTATGCAGTTTACCCAGCAGTATTCTATGATTCACACAGTCGAAGGCCTTCGATAGATCACAGAATACTGCTGCAGCTACTTCACCATCATTCAACCTGAGGTACAGTCTTTCGAGAAATGCAAACATTGCGTCATTCGAACTCTTAGTAGCCTTGAACGTTGCATAGCAACAAACTTTTCCTGTCTAGGCAGATAAAGTGCATCTTTCCTGCCTCTTAAGCGGCAGGGTGAAGTCACTTTTCCTTCCACTTGTAGAAAAAAATATTGTACGTTAAACATTGGGAAACGCATTTTGTGTAACTCTTTGCGGGATCTCGTTTCTCTCGTCCCGCACAATCCCATCGTTACACAAAATGACCCGTTTCCTAACTGTTTACGTAGGTAAATATCTATTCCCTAATATCGTTCCCCGCTTCTCCTGCTCCACTGGCGGCCATTGATCCTCCGCATCCTGCGAGTCCTGTGCCCTCGTCGCAGTTCCTTATCACGGTGGCAGGATCAACATGGCTGTCCGCCGTTCCAATATGTCGTCGGACATCTGAGCGTTATCTGAGCCGCGACAATTGTGAATTGTGGCGATTTGCGATAACGGCATCAGTCAATCAATCAAAGTGTTTGCGCAAGTCTATGGTGGTGTGATTGTTGTGTTCGCGGGGCGAGGGAGGGACTTATGAGATTCGATACGGGGATTACTTTTGTGGTAAGTTATGTATGGTTATGTGTTATGTGGATTTATATAACACCAGTTGCGGAATGCGATGTCATCATGCTTGAAAGGAAGTCCGACGAAGTCAGGAGTTCAGGGGAGTTATGTAATCACAGTGGAGTCGTTTTTTCCTAGCAATATTTCCAGTAGTCACAATTGAGGAGTATCTTTCTTTCTTTGGAAGTTCAGAAAATTCAATAGTCAGTATATACGTATATTATCGTTCTCTTTTTTGAAATGTAGGTCGAGTTCAGAAAGTTTGGGGTCACAATGGAATGGGTTCCTTCTTGATATATTTTGTCAAGTCTAACAAAATCTGGAGTTTGTGAGCCACTATGAAACTTTTTTTCATATTACCTAGGCACATATTAAAGCGATTCTTTCTTGTCGAGTTCATGAGTCAATAGTTCGTGATTATTCTTCAGCCACCATAAAACTTGTAGAAAATCTTCTAATCTATTTTATTGTATTGATAAGACTTCTTTCTCCAAACGGCATAGAAAGTGGCTTTTCTATGACACTTAACAGGCAGCAAAGGTGTACTTTCTCTGCCTAGGCAGAAGCAATGAAATTGTTAATCAAAATTGACACTGACATTGGGTGAACACAAAATGATGGAGTTTTCATTGAAAAAAATTACACAAAAAATGGTTTTTTAAAATTTGAAGAAAAAAATATATGTTTCACATGACAGCAAAGTAGATTGACTGCCTTGGCTGAATTCCTAGCCTCGCTATGCTCGGCAATGAACTATCAGCTGCGGCAGTCAATCTACTACTTTGCTGCCTAGTGGAACAAATAACCATTCCCAGAAAATTAGATACGATACGGGGATTTCTTTGGTGGTAAGTTATGTATGGTTTTGTGGATTTTCAACACTAGTTGTGGTATGCAATGTTTTCGTTGGAAATGGCATGCTCTGATGAAGTTCTAAAAAGTCAGGTGTTCTGGGAATTTTGTAATCACAGTGGAACAGTTATTTCCTAGCAATATTTCTAGTGAGGAGGATCTATCTTCCTTAGGAATGTTCAGAAAATTCAATATTCTAGAGTATTTATTATCGTTCTCTTTTTAGTAATGTAGGTCGAGTTCAGAAAGTTTTGGGGTCACCATGGAATGGGTTCCTTCTTGATATCTTGTCAAGTCCAAGAAAGTCTGAAGTTTGTGAGCCACTATAAGACTTTTCTTTGGATATTTCCTTGTAACATATTAATGCGAGTTTTTTCTTGTCGAATCTTCAAAAGTCAATAGTTTGTGATTATTCTTTAGCCACCATAAAACTGTTTTAGAATATTTTGGAATCCATTTTATTGTATTGTATTGTTCTGGGAATTATGTAATCACAGTGGAGCAGTTATTTCCTAGCAATATTTTTCTAGTAGCCACAATTGAGGAGGATCTATCTTTCTTAGGAAGTTCAGAAAATTCAATAGTCTAGCAAGAGTATTTATTATCGTCCTCTTTTCAGTAATGTAGGTCAAGTTCAAAAAGTTTGGGTTCACAATGGGCGATGGATTCCTTCTTGATCTTGTCAAGTCTACAAAAGTTTATTGTGATTATTCTTCAGCCACCATGAAACTGTTTTAGAATACCTCAGAATCTATTCTATTGGATTGATAGGGCTTCTTCCAGAAAATTCTGTTATTTTATATATTAATTTTTCTGAATGATTTGGGATACCCTCTCGCATCTGTAAAAGAAATATAAGTATTCTTGCAATATATGATGTATGGACAAATCAGATAATTTGCCCCAAAACGTCACTGTTCTTAAAATTCCACTGTTAGGAACCTAAAAGAGATGTTCAATGAATAGTCAGATAGATTCAGGAAATTTGTAGTCACAGAGAAATAGTTTTTTTTATAGAAATATTGATTGATGATTGAGTTCATGAAATTCTCAAGAATATTCCAGAGTATGATTTTCTCCTTATTAGAAGTTAAGTTCATGTTCAGGAATTCTGAAATTTGCCTATCGAACCTGAAACAATTGTGATTTTGTAAGAGATATTCCTTAGATATTTTCTTGTCCCAATGTGACAGTTATTTTTGTCAAGTATATAAAAGGTAGGTATCTCTCTGGCTCTATTTCATAGATATTTTCATGGGCGATGCTCTTCTGAAATATCAACAATTGTTCCTCCCTTGGCAGTCCCCGCGAGATTAACTCGTCGAGTTGAGACTTCGCACCCCTTCGTGGTCACTTTGGAGACCTGCAGAATATCTCTTTCCAAATACTCGTTCATCCAACGAACACCGAGGCTCAGGAACACATTGCCAAGGGAGTTGTTCCCCGAAGCATATAACTTCCAGAAATTTAAGAAGAACACCAATTCCTACCTTATTTCCCTTAGTTCTCACGATGTTCTCTGAACATTACAGGATATACCTTTTCGTGGGAACCAGAACATAAAAAAAAAAACATGAAACAGACATGACAGAAAGCAGAATAATTCGACAGATTCACTCTTGAAACTCTCAGTCGAGTCCCGAAAACTCAATCAGAAATTTGAAAATATAAAACTTTTTTCTAATAATATGGTTGGCGTATGTTGAATTTGATTTCTTACTCAAAAAGTTCATCATATGTTCATAAATGCGCTGATTGAACGTACGCCAACCATAGTTTTGATGATAATTTCGGAATTCTACACGTAGAAAATGAAGGAATGAAACTCAATCATTTTGAATCATTAGGAATCAACAAACTCAAAAATTTTGACATTTTACTTAACGATCAATTAGACCTCAATCGTTCACTACTGTTGAATTTGTTTTCTTAGTAGGTAATATTTATTTGCTATCAACCCTTTCAAGTTAATTCGGTACACCCTATTTTAATGTAGATTGTGCCTAATTTCCGAAAATGAAGGTTTATCGAACTTGTCCACAGGTAACTAATCCTTCGAGTTGGGAAAGTAGGATATATAAAAGTTAAGCAAGCCAAGGTTGGTTTAGTTTATTGTACAAATATATCACCTGACGAAGCTACTGTGTTAGCGAAACATGGAATTTTGTGGAAATCTTATCGTTTGTGAAGTTTTTACATTTGCCATGGATTTCTATCAAGTAACGGCCGAGTCAATTCCAAATTCGAATATTTTTGTAACTCGGCTGTGGATCGTTTAAAAAAATCAGTTCTTGATCACCAAAGTATAGCATTTTGCGCACTATATACAAAAATAACCATATTTTCCACTTGTCCATTACTGCTTTATAATACCTTGGCAACGTTTGCTCCCGGGGCGTTATGGAGGGCAATATGAAATCATAAAGCCCTCTTATTCGTATTCATTTCCATTATTTCTATGAGACTATAAGACCAATGACATTCACTGAATTAAATGATGACAGCAATATTCAACAAACGTCAAAATATAAACAAATGCCATGTCGACAATGAAAAGAAAAATGGAAAGAAAATGCTAGAAGCAATGATCCGCTTTTTAAAATCGATTTTTCATTAAAATAAGGAATTTTTTTACAGCATTCATCCCTCGGGCCAAAGCAGGGCCTACTCTAGAGTAGGCCCTGGCCAAAGGCCCTAGAGTGATTGTTACCCTCCGGGCGTTAGGTTCTATACAGGGTGATTCAAAAGTAAGCGGCATCTTTTCAGGGGCGTATTCCTTGCATAAAAATGAGTCGAAAAGTTCCTATTAATAAGGGTCCGAAAATGCTTTCTAAGGGAGCTACGCCCCTTTGAATATAGGACACCTCGAAGATGATATTTTCTCTATAACTTTAAAATTCCCTACAAAAAATCTTTGAAAATTGACTGACTTGATTTGAAATAAGACTCTGAATTCAAAATTGCAAAATTTCATTTAGGGGCGTAGCCGTGCGGACAGAGTGTCTATATTCTAATTCGCATTCGCTTGCCGGTCGTGGGTTCGATCCCCGTCGACTGCAGAAATTTTTCTGATGGCCCAAGAAAGTGTTTGGGATCACGCTTTAAAAGGTAAGGCCCCCGTCATTCCTTGCTCGCACAAGACTTTCGAAGACTTTTGAGGGTTGCTCGTAAGGGGGCAACCGAATGACGGATAGAACAATTTTACAACAACAACAACAACATACGGGGGAGGGTAAGTGTAAAAACATCCCTTCTTCTTTTGATATTCAGGTTATTGTGATTTTGTTTGAAAATTATAAAATTCTAGAGTTTCTTACGCAAAAAAGATTCTCCTAGTTAATTTCGATAGAGCCTACCATTTAGGAGAAAACCGACTTTGAAAACTTTCTCATTTGCGTAAATCACAATAACTTCTATATGAAAAAAAATGTTGACATTTTAAATTCAGAATCTTATTTACCATCAAATTTTTATGCCGTACACCAATTTTCGAAAATTTATTGTGAAGGATTTTGAAGTTATAGAGAAAAAAATCGTCTTTGAGGTGTCCTATTCAAAGGGGCATAGCTCCCTTAGGAAGCATTTTCGGACCCTTATTAATAGGAACTTTTTACCTCATTTTCATGCAAGGAATACGCCCCTGGAAGGATGCCGCTTACTTTTGAATCACCCTGTATAACGCACTTGGTACATAAATAACAAGTGTTGTCTTCCAGGGCAAGCATGGATGACAGCATGGATGACGATGTGTTCGAGGCAACCGAAGACACCCGGTTGCGGGTGACAGCAGACCACCCCCACAGCAACACGCCGTCGCCGACAGGGTACCGCAACTATCAACCGCCCGCTGAGGTCCTAAAGTTATGCCAGACTGACGTCATCGAGGCTGTGGAGCCGAAAATACACAAGGTGCAGACATTTTGTTTTGGGTATTCGGGAATAAGACTATGTCAGACATTGTCAGAGTAAATAGCGTGACTCACGAACGAAAAAGTGTATGCCATCATCAATGGGGAAGTTTCCTTCAGATGAATTTTCATGAAATGAGTTCGGAACTTTCCAGTTATATGTCCACGCTGTACAGAATGGCGACCGATAAAGTCCAAGTCGTTTTTATTTTCAAATTAAAGTAATTTCTAATTTTCATGGTGGCAAACTGTGACCTACATTCTGAATCTAGTCTGAAAATAGCTGATGATGAAGAATATAGCTAGCGAATAGCTAACGAATAGCTAACGAATAGCTAACGAATAAAAAACGAATGAAAAAATTGAAGAAGAAGTAAAACTGGTAAACAAAAACAAACATAACCACAAATGTACTCGGAGCAGGAATGCAGAGGGTAGTTGGCTTCTTTCTGACAGGTTATGGTTTTGTTATTTATGCATTGGAATATCTCGAATAGAGCTCGATCCTAAACGAAAATATCAATTAATCACTATCGGCTACATTCAATGATACTATCCTTCCTAATTTACTGTCATCGGTCAGAACAGAATGAAGCCGACACCCATAGCTCCTTCCTCTTGTTGTGCCTGTCATTATTTTGAGTGCTGTGGACGGACTCGAAATATTTGGCGCTGTTGCAAGATATAATCTGCAACTTTCCTAGAAAATAGATCCGTTTCATCAAGTAACGAAGTCAGTAGCAAAAAAGTTACTGACAAGTTATGAATAACATATTGTAATATAACGATAGTGAAAAATTATAGATACTATCGCAAAATATCGTAATTTATCTTTATTAGCAATTAACTTTATTCAGCCAATGAGAGATTTATGGAAATTATTCATAATACTTGACAAAGTATAGGATTGAAGAACCTATTATATCCCATTGCTGTTATGATATAGTTATTATGCATTCAAAGAACAATTTCCGGAAATCTAGACATATTCATGATGTCGGCAACGTCGTACTGGCACAGGGAATCGTATTTTAACTCTGTGTGAATGTGGATTTTCAGAAAGTACGTCATAGGAATGGTGGAGGAGCCAAGTTCCTCTTTTATTTATATTTTTCTGAAGTGAAATTTGATCTTACGAAATAAAGAAAAAATACGTATATATAAATTTTTTACAAACTCCACAGTGAGATGAGAACCTCAATATAGGAAATATGAGGGAATCAAAAACATTGCAACAACGTTGCAACATTGCAAACAAAATCTCGAGAATGGTGACAGGATCTCCCTGATGGTAATATGTTCGGAATAATCAAATTGCCTGGGAACTGAAATTCGCTTCCGCTCCCAATTGGGACATCCCCGAGTTTTGTTAGATTATTGTAAGTACCATTGTTATTATTTATTCAGTCGTCAACCTGATGCCTCCTCAAGGAATGTCAAAATTGTATTTTATTATTAATAAATCCAAATTTGTTATTGTTGTTCAATCTGTAGCCCTCTTATTGAATATCAACCCTCAGCAAATCCCAAACTAGCAAAGAAAATAAGTCGCATTCGTGACAATATATATTTGTGAATTTATTACTCATTTTGTAAAATTGACACAGAGCGTGCTGAAATATCATGCAATTCATAATATTGGTAATTATAATGATAAATAAGTGTCAAAATATTTTTCAGTGGGTTATGAAATGTTTCATATAGAAATCAGGAGATCTACTGAAAATTCTGTGGATCTGGCAACCATGCAGCGGACGAAAAGTGTTTGCGGACGAAAATTTAGTGTCTGCCGACGAAAAGTATTAGCTTTCGAAAATGGTCGGTTTTTCGTTCGGAAATTAAATCGTAAAATGTGATTTTTGTGGAAATCGACGAAAAAATCTATTTTCAAACAATATGATAACAAAAATAAAATTTGGTATATTTTTCCCGAGCATATTGTGACGAGATATTCATTGAGCCTAATTTCATCAAACACTTTCTGTATGTTAATTGAGAAGATGAATCACGAATTTTACAACTTGACTGTTTATTCTGACAGTATTTTTTCGATCGCCCTATATGTCGACCCACATCCGCTAACATAGAAGGCTAAATACCGGGAATCGAAGCCTATATAGCTAATTGCATTTTGCGTTGTTGCGCTCTGTTCAGGATGAAAGCCTGCTTTCCGGAAATAACAACTATGTCCAATTTCTCTTAATTAGCGGTCTCTAGCACCACAAGCATTCGCTTATGGGGTGAAATTGAGTGAAATCATGCATGAAAGTTGAGAATACTTCGCAGATAGTAAGGGAAATTCTGTTATTTTTCATCGAAATACATAGTGTATCCTTCAATAATTCGAGTATTCAATTTTGATCACTGGTTGTAATACTTGAAAACAGGGCAGGGTCAGTGGGTACTGAACCTTCCCTGATTTTTCGATTCTTCTGCCAGTGACTTCTTAGACATCTATTGTATTATTTTTTTCTCTGGCGGTAGAAAAGTTTGACATTTTATCCCTATTGACAGGTTACAAAATGTCATTTTTCACTTTTTCCCCGGTTATATAGGTGCACTGTTGATGGCTTTTGTTGTGATAGTTCCGAAAAATGAGTAACTTTTCACTTTTTTCCCGGTTATATAGGTGCACTGTTGATGGCTTTTGTTGTGATAGTTCCGAAAAATGAGCCACCGTCTCCGAGAAAGAACTGCAAGTCCTTTTATCTTCCATTCCACTTCGCGGTTACTTAAATTACTAAACAACCACTAAGATCGCAATTTTTTAACATCAAAACACAGAAGTGAGTTGACACATATTCGATTAATTCAAAAGGTTTCCATAGAAACAATAAAGATGCCTACAAAAAGATGCCTGCAAACACAGGTCTATGGGTTGCGTGCAAGAACTGTCAGATGACCGACGCTGGAGGCAAAACATTGAAACACAAACTCACTTTTCTTATTTGTTTTATTTATTAGAAGTAAGTACCTACTATAGTCACTCACATATAGTTTTCATTTTTGAAATCTGGTAATTTCTCTGATTTCTCATCGGAATTCCTTCTGCGATAGGAGCTATTAATAGAAATAACACCTGTTTCTAAAATAATGCCAGAAGATTGGATTCATATGCAATCAATCGGGTGGACTGGTCTGACATACTGACGATCGTGTGTGTTTAAGACATTTTCAATCTATTAGCAGTATTAGCTTGTATTGCAGAAGTGGCAGAAGGCAGAAGAAATTTTAATGAGGAATGACAACATTTCATAATGATAACTATGTGAGATTACTATTTACCTGAAAAATCATATTCTTTAGTCTCTTGCTGCATTTTTTGTGCATTGTACAACAGCACAATGCGAAGGCATGCTCGAATTAATGAATAGCGCAAAAAACACGATTCTTATGCCAAAATATTGTGAAAAACTATTTCAATCCTTTGATTCCTCTGTAACCAAATAAAAAAGTGAGGTTGTGTTTCAATAATTCACAGAAGAATAAGGTTTTGTTTCAATATTTTGCCTCCAGGGTCGGTCATCGTGCACGCGACCTATACTACCTACCTACCAGTTAAAAACTTGAAATTTCACATCGATAATTTTCTGATTTAATTTTATGAGATATATTCTCAAAATTGAATTGTTGTTTTTCATGTCACACGGGAAAATATTAAATTTTAGCTCCCGCGGTTTTCAGCATCTGCTAAAATCTAATACTTTTTTCCCTTGTATAATAAAGGGTTTTCCAATAAGAGGTGTTATTTTGAAAAGCATGCTATTTCGGTAGATGTCACTTTTGAAGCTGTCTTTCATTGATATTTGACAAATAGAAACTATGCCATTAATAAAAATGGAACGATACACGCTCCAACAAAGAACTGAAATTATTGAAATTCACTAAAAAAATGGTGAAAATTTGGCAGAGACGGTTCGTAGAACTCGAACATTTATGGGTCGTCGTGAAGCACGACCTTGTTGGGCCGCAATACAGAAATTGGTGGAAAAATGCGAGCTGTTGGGACTTAGTGATGTGAAGAATAAAACCCGTGCACGTCGCTCAAGAACAGCCGAGAATATTACTGCTGTAGCCGAAAGTGTTGCAGAGAACCCATGTTTGTCCATTCCTCGTCGTTCTTTGGAATTAGGCATTCCACAAACGTCATTACACCGTATTTTGCATAAAGATTTGGGTCTTAAGGCTTATATAAAGTTCAGTTAACACAAGAACTCAAGCCGTCGTGGCTTTGCTGATTGGGTCCTTGAAATGCATGAAAATGATCCGGAATTCCATCGAAAAATCTTCTAGAGTGATGAGGTCCATTTCGACCTCGGTGGCTTCTTCAGCAAGCAAAATTGTCGCATCTGGGGCTCGGAAAACCCGAGAGTTATTCTTGAAAGGCCTTTCTATCTTCAACGTGTGACTGTTTGGTCCGGCGGAGTCATTGAACAGTTACTGTGAATGGATTGCGCTATTGAGAGATGATTAATGATTTTTTATGGCCGGAATTGGATGGCATTGATCTGGACAACGTTCACATTCAACAAGACGGCGCTACCTGCTACACAAGCAATTTAATCATTGATCTTTTATGGGAAAAGTTTCCGAACCGTGTTATCTCTCGAAGAGGTGATCACAATTGGCCACCGAGATCTTGTGATTTAACACCTTGCGACTTCTTCCTTTGAGGCCACATGAAAGACAAGGTCTACGCCAACAGCCCAACGTCGATTCAAGTCCTCAAAAATGGAATTCGGGAGGCTATCGAGGACCTAGGGCAGCCACTTTGCGATTTGGTTATGGAAAATTTTTCGAAAAGAATATGTTTTTGTAGGCGAGGTCGTTTGACTGATGTTATCTTCCACTATCAACGGCATACCTTCCTCTTTATAATGAAATAAACATTTCATCATTTATATAAAAAAATGGCATTTTTCTTTGAATATCAGAAATAACACCTCTTATTGAAAACCCCTTTGAATAACTATTTTTGACTCTCATATAATTTGGAAATCAATGGCTTATTAAATACCTACTCGAGTTTTGTGCAAATTACATTAGATTTTTACAGTTTTGCAGATAGGATTTTGTCAAGTGAAGTCAAATTTTTGACAGTTGATAATCGTTCCGATATTGATATATCGTTAATTTTGGCCGTTTTGATTCCAGACAATCTTATTGGGAGACAGCGGAGTCGGAAAAACCTCGTTGCTAGTTAAATTCGACACCGGGAAATTTCAGTCGGGAAACTTTTCAGCCACAGTCGGGATTGGTTTTTCGGTAAGTGATTAAAGTTATACATAAGATGATGCACGATATCTCACTATGATAAGTTTAATGATAAATTTGAGTAAGTGGAGGGTATCAAATCATGGATGCAAACCAAATCTCAATACAGGGCATTGTAGGCTCAACAAACACATGAGTACGATAGGTCTGACTGAAGAACTGCTGTGCAGGTTCTGTCAAGAAGAGAAAGAAACAGCAGTACACATACTTTGCCACTGTGAGAGCTTGTCAAGACTAAGGTTCCTTACGCTGGGTGAGGAAAAACCAGGAGCCCAGAGATACACAGGAGATCTGAGAGCTAGCCTATGGAGTCTCATAGAGAAGGCGAGGCTAGCCGAAGAACTCTAATCGATTTTGAGGGCAGACACAAGAGATCTGAAAAGGTCGCAGTGTGGAGGCAGATAGCCCGAAGGCCCCATTCCAAATCTAAAAAAAAATCTAAGTTGGAGGGTAGATGAATGCTATTTTTTGTCATTGATGAATATACAGGACAATGAGAATTTCATGTGATTATAGCATCCTCAAATTTCCATGAATTTATGGGGTGATCCTTCATACAAAAAATCTCTTGATGTTATTAGATAGCTCCTGTCTTGAAAACATTTTTTAACTATTCCAATTCAAATTATGTTACTGAAATAAGCGGTATTCGATGAATGAAATTGAACAAAACTCTATTCCGATAAGTATAAGAATTATATTGATTTACGGTATGACCAAGATGAGGTTGCACAACATGGATATCTCGGAAACGATTAGAGATACGGTTTCTGTTGAATGAGAACAAAGTTGCGCATATTTTAGAAGGTCATTTCAACTACTTTCGAAAATCGTCGACATTATTTATAGATTCTCAGTTATTCAAAAAATTGTTAATTTTTGGAAAACCTCTTCAATTTCTTTCTACGTTATATTATTATTATACGAGGTGGTTTTGAAATAAGTACATATATCAGCACATCGATATGAAACAGTCTAACGATTATTCCCATGATATCAGATTTTCCTAATTCTTCTTATTAACAAGAAATTTCATCCAGAAAATTGAACAAAAAACGAGAAAAAAATTAAGTACGCCACTTAAATTTGAACAGAGGTGACGGCAGAATTGCTACAGTGTGGAACTTTGGGTCGAAAGAAAGGTCTAACCTCAAATTTTATTTCGATCCCTGTATTTTATTTATTGGTACCACTCGATAGTATACGTCGAGCTTACTCAAGGCTAGAAATATTTGCAATTATTTCAATGCCACCCCGTATATGTACAGAAAATTTAAGTATGCTTATCCATATCAACTTCTGATGAGATTCAATGTGATGATATTGATTTCTCTATGCAACATTTCACCAGGTGCTCATCAGAGTTTCTGAAAGCTTTTGTTTCAACCCAGTTTAATCCATCATGAATTTTTCGAAATAACAAATGGAAAATATCATCTTTTTATTAATAATTTTTCATTTTGTTCGTTGTTCATTCGTTTTTTTTTCCTGAAATCGAAAAGGCTCTGAAGATCCTTGTTGCTTTATTACCTTTTTTCATGTTCTGGTTCTCACGAAAAGGAATATCCTGTAATGTTCAGAGAACATCGTGAGAATCAAGGGGAATAAGGTAGGAATTGGTGTTCTTGAATTTCTGGAGGTTATATGCCTCGGGGAACACCTCCCTTGGCAATATGTCCCAGAGCCTCGCTGTTCGTTGGATGAACGAGTCTTTGGAAAGATGTTCTGCAGGTCTCCAAAGTGACGACGAAGGGGCGCGAAGCCTCAACTCGACGGGTTAATCTCGCGGGGACTGCCAAGGAAGCAACAATTGTTGATATTTCAGAAGAACATCGTCCATGAAAATATCTATAAAATAGAGCCAGATCGCCAACTTTTCTACGGTGTTCCAGAGAAGTGAGTGAGTTTCTGAGCGAGGCATCACCCACGAGACGAATTGCCCTTTTTTGGACAGAATCCAACAATTTCAGGGCATGTTTGGGTGCTGCACTCCAAATATGGGAACAGTATTTCAGGACAGGTTGGATCTGTGCCTCATAGATCATAAGCAGCTGACTGGAAGTGAAATAGACCCTGGCCCGAAAACCAAGTTTTTGTGATGCACTTTCAGCAATTGATCTCACTTGATTTTCCCCAGAAAGGTTATTGCTGATAGTAATACCAAGCATCGAAATGGATGTCTTCAATGGTATGGTTACTCCTGACAAGCTTATGTTGGGCACAGTGAGATCGGCTTTTCTAGAGAAAAGGCATGCTTGTGTTTTGTTTGCATTGAAATCTACCAAGTTATTGGATCCCCATTCGAGAATTGTTGCCAAGTCCATATTTATGTTGTCAACATTTCTTCCTCGTTCGTTTCTGATTTGCCTGGCTGGTATTGGAGCCCTGGAAGAGAAGGCGGTATGGAGGGTACTATCATCCGCGAAGCTGTATACTGGACATGAAGTTGCTTCCAACAAATCGTTGATATGGAGTAGAAATAGTGTTGGTGCTAGAATTGATCCTTACGGAACACCAACATATATGATAAGAGGATCAGATGAAACTCCGTCGACCACTACATAGAGAGACTTGTTTGAGAGAAAACTAGCTAGCAGAGAACATAGCTTGGGAGGCAAGCCATAAGATGGAAGCTTGGCGAGGAGTCCGTGGTGCCAAACTCGATCGAATGCCTTGGAGATATCAAGTGCCGTGGTTTTACCATATTTTTCAATAGATTGCTGCCATATATGTACAGTTGAAAGGTCAGGTTAGGTCGGAGAATCAAAACCTGGTTGAGGAGCACCATGTCTGAAGCTCGACTCAATGGCCTCGCAATGATGAGGGTACATAGGCAACATATTTTCAAAAACTTGAACTATTTCGTTTACAAAGTGACCAACGAATTCACAAAGAACCCTGGAAGATTAGGTTTCAATTGATTTTCTATATAGATTTTTTTCAATTTTTTATTTTTCTCATTAAACTTTTTTTATTTGATTTTCCTCTTTTTTATGGTGCCTCCTCCTAGCTTTCCGGCTGGCGACGCCCTTGCTGGAAATACTGAAGTATTGCTATAGCTCATCAGTATTTCTAATTTTATAGTGAAACACTAAAGAAATGCAAATATCTCGTGAACGAGTGAAACTATCATAATATCAATTCCAATAACCTGACCTAGCATCCTGGTTTAGAAAGGGTCCATTTCAAAAACATCTAGAAATATTAGATCTTGTGCAGTTAATGGTCGATAACTCTATAAAAAGGCCGTTGTAACAACATTATTGAAAAGTTATTATTTGTATTCACATTTCCGAACTGAAGGTCAATGAATTTTGTGATTTATCAGAATGATACACGGCACATTTCCTATCATAATCGTCGACAAAATATAGTATACTGATAGCGGAAGTTTTACGTCATACGACAGTTGGCACAATACAATAATGAAGATATTGAAGTTTGGCCAATTAAGTAATTGCATGCTCTGATGAAAAAATCTGAACTTGAAAACCGTATTCTGATAGCAGCAATTCATTTCTGAGTCGAAAAATTTCCAAATTAGGCCAAATAATTGAAATGGAAACGATATCTCGAAATTTGCTTAGTTTTACAAATAGAGCAGCAGGTGTAACAAAAAAATCTGAACTCTTTCCTACCATGCCCACCTTCCTTGGATTCCCACCATGCCCACTTTTCATACACTCCCACGATGTGCAAATTCCACCATGCCCACTTTTCATACATTCTCACGATGCCCAATTCCCACCATGCCCACCTTCATCATGGTGAGAATACAAAGAAGGTGGGCATAGTGGGAATTGGGCATCGTAGGAATTGGGCATCGTGGGAATATATGAAAAGTGAGCATGGTGGGAATCCAAGAAAGGTGGGCATGGTGGGAATTGGGCATCGTAGGAATTGGGCATCGTGTGAATTGGGCATCGTGGGAATTGGGCATCACGGGATGCTCCCGTCTAATAATCCTTCATTTCTTGTTTTTTTTCTCGAAAAATGTAATCGTAATGTGGTAATGGTGTACTACCTATTTGGCGAGGAAGAAAACGTTGTATCACCATTTGCTCTGAATCTCCAATATCGGAGTTGATGAAAGCAATCACTAAAATAATTAAAACGGCAGAGGTAAAGGTCGCCAGTGCTCCAAACTCATCAAATATTTGCTCGGCTAATGAAAATCGAATACAAAATAATATCCCAATCCTAACCTTTTCGCTATTCCTGCTGTATCCACTCTGGCGTCCGATCGCTGCTTATCTTATCGAAGATTGAGTTTTGAGTTCGCCCCGCGGGAGATATCGAGGGAAAGCTAATTGACACCCCCTCACGCCTCACACCTCCCTCCTGTCAATAAACAGAACTCGATCGGGAAAACTAACTATGCCTTCCAGTTCGACAAATGACGAGAATCAATGTTGGTCATGCCACATGTCGTCTTTTTCTAGTAATAATTGTGTTTTAGACGAGTCATACCACAGTTTCATACGATGGCAATTTAGGCGGTTTTACCAGGAACGCTCGTGCCGTGAATCGCGAGTGTGTAATGTCAGTTGATATTAGAGAGTTGAAGCAGAGATTGAAGTAATCACTATACGTAGACCTCCACGTAGACGTGACGTTAACGTACGAAAAATAACGTTTACGTATTGTCGTTGAATTGAGTTGAAGTCGCCACTTTGGTCGTCACTGTCATCATAACGTAATAATACATTTTGTTTTCGGTTTGTATTGGTCATTTTTGGTTGTGTGTTTAGATTCGAACATTTATTCCTATCAAAATTAGAGGACTCCTTGATGCAGAACTCGTTGGTGATTTCGAATTTGATAATTTTGACTCATTTGACTCATCGGCATATTTCGAGTATAGTTTGGTTAACGTACGTTGATATTTAAGGTATACGTGAACGAACGTAATACGGATAATCTCTATCTGTTTCCATAGCGAAACATGAAGCCAATTTTTGAAGACAAATGACTATCCGTAAGGAAAAGTT